TCCCCCCAAAAACAACAATGAAGTGTTCTGTGTGCTAACAACATAGCTTAAAAAAAAAGTAAAACAAAATTCTGCATTTTTATAAAACTTGATAAAAAATAGTATTTCAAACTGTACAGTCACCAGAAATACACAGTTATCAAAAATGCACACACTTCACTTGGCATCTCCAGCACCTTCAGCTTTCTGTGCCTAAAAGAAAAATAGACAGATTAGTGCAATGCATAGTTTGGAACTATCTTCATTTGTATTCCATCTATAACATTACTTTGCTCCTGGGCCAAAGTTCAGATCTTATGTACTTTGACATTGAGACTTAGTACTTCTTTTGAGAATGACTTGGTAGGAAACTGCTAAAATTGGGGAAAGGGACACATCAGCCTTAGAAGATCTGAGGTTATTCTTAGCTTCAAAACTCTTATGGTGTAGCACAAATGTGACACTTAACAGGACAAAGATCAACACCACAATGCCATTTATCAAATGGCAGAGACGTCAAGAATCCAGGATTTTGCTAACAAGAAACCACAACCAAACTCTGGACTGAAAGACACACTTAGAGTGATATAGATGCAAGAAAAAAGCAACTAAGACTTTTTGGGATCAGTCAACTATTAAACGAGCAGGCTTCATAAAAAGTGAGGCAGCAATTGTACCTGGTCTGTTTTGGCATCTCCATTTTCTGCAGGGTTATTCCCATCCTTGCCAGTATCAGCCTTTCCCTTTTTCCCTTTGGGTACCTTCTCTCCCTTCTAAAAGGCGGGAGAAAAAAGAAAAAAAAAAAAGAGCTGTTTCTCCTAATTTTGTATTACCAGGATGAGGTCTGCAAAATTCTGTACATGGCACGATTGCTTATTAAAGATAAAGCACACCTAAACTAGCCCTGGCCAGTGTGGATCAGTTGCTTGGGTGTTGTCCTGTGCACCAAAAGGTTTCCAGTTCAGTTCTTGGTCAGGGCACATGCCCAGGGTTGTGGGCTCAATCCCCAGCAAGGGGTGTGGAGGAGGCAGCCAACTGATGTTTTCTCTCTCATCAATGTTTCTCTCTCAAAAAAAAAAAAAAAAAAAAACCCCACAATAAAAAACATTTAAAAAAAAGCAAAAAAACACCCCACACCTAAACTATAAACCCCCTCCCACTGATAAAACAATGGGTTATAATTAGGCCAAATGAGCTATAATTTGCTGTGGTTGTCAGTATACAAAATGTTTATCTGAGTATAAATAATAGGAGAGTAAGACAGCTGAAAACAACTTGGACATTCAATACCTAAGTGCAATTTTCTCTAAACTGACAGAGTTCTTGATATACAAATCTCAGGGAAAAGGCAAGCTACCAAAAGAATTTAGAATATCCATTAGTGGAGTCACTATTATGCTGAATTAAGATCCTGAAGGACAGCCCTGGCCGGTTTGGCTCAGCGGTTAGAGCGTCGACCTGCGGTCCTGAGAGACTCGGGTTCGGTTCCCGCTAAGGGCGCGTACCTCGGTTGCAGTTTGTCCCCAGCCCTGGTCGGTCGTGCGGGTGGCAGCCACTCGATGTGTTCCTTTCACATCGATGTTTCTCTCTCTCTCTCTGTTCCTCTCTCTCCCTCCCACTCTACCTGAACAAAAAAATGGAAAAATGTCCTCGGGTGAGGATAAAAAAATAAAATAAATAAAGATACTGAAGGACAGTCCTCATTCTGTGAAAATGATCAATTAGGGTATAATTATAAGGCCTAGTCCTTTTAACTTTGTCATATCTCAACTTTGTGCCAACAGATGAAGTTGTTATATAGCAGACCTCCTGTAAGTAACATGAAATCCTGCTCAGCCTTATGTGATGCCTAGAAACACCTGGTCTCCCAGTTCCACTCACCTTTGCAGGGGCCTTTTTAGGCTTGGGCTCTGGCTTTGGAGGAGCAGGTTTCTTTTATTTGGAGGAGAGAGGGGAAGAGAACATTAGTATGATGGACCACAGAAAACAACCCACAACCAAATCCCAATGCCACTGACACTAAAATTTTTCCTTCTTTGTAAAGATTTTGTGGCTGACTTCCCATTAAAGATTCCTATCTTCAGAAACCCAGTTAAGTAATGCTCAGAAGTGTCCCACTTTGGCTATACCCCATGAAAATTTCACAACCAGCAAATCTCAAATGGATGAGAGTCCAGTGGAGCAGCTCATTAAAACCAGCCAGTGACCATCACTCATAGGGTATTGTTTTTCAATGTTTTTTAGTTTCAGTAATAAATGTGAAAATTTAAAAGCAGACACACTTACAGCTGATAACCTGGCAGATCTTCTCTGTGGCTATTAAGAAAAACACGAGAATATTAGAAATAAAATAGTTGAACCACTTAAGAAAAACAAAAGTTTTAGTGCCAATCTGTTCTAGACTATAAGAAGTAAAGAGAGCCCTGGCCAGTTTGGCTCAGCAATTAGAGCACCGGCCTGTGTCCAGAGAGACCTGGGTTTGGTTCCCGCTAAAGGCACATAACCTCAGTTGCAGTTTGTCCCCAGCCCTGGTTGGGTCGTGCGGGTGGCAACCACTGGAAGTGTCCCTTTCACATCGATGTTTCTCTCTCTCTCCCCCTCCCACTCTATCCGAACAAAAAACGAAAAATGTCCTCAGGTGAGGATAATAAATAAATAAATAAAAGAAGTGAAGAGAGCTTGCTTAGACAAATTCAGGGATAGGGGCATGGTTAATCACCACCAGAAGAGCCCAGAGCTTTCTAAGACTCCACAAGAGAATAAACAAGACTTACTTCGTCCTTCACCTTGGCTTTATCTCCTTTTGCATCCCCTTCAGCCTATGAAAAATCAAACAAAAACTAAGAAACCTGCAGCTTCCGAGGCAATTTTTAATGATTCACTAAGCTTAACCTAGTCTAAAAAAAATTAAAAGCCTTGCACACAACTTCCCTAGGACATACAAATCGTCAGTGTTTAGCTCCCCCACCTCCTATGCAAATACCCGAAGTACTTAGAAACCGTGCTTATTTGTGTAAGCATCACGCCTGATCCAGCCCAAAGCACGCAAAACGTTGGGGCCTCAGCCTTCCCAGAGTCTCTGCCAAGTGGCCCCGGGAAAGCCCGCGCTAAGCTGGAGCGAGTGCATAGAACCGCAGCGCGCGCCGCCGAACCAGGCAAAACCAAAAGCAACAGCTGCAGTTGGTGCAAACCAACTCCTCCGGAGGAGGGGCCCGACCGCCGTTGCCATGGCAGCCGTCGAGGGCGGGAGACGTGAGGCTCGCGCGCAGCCTGGGGAACTCGTGGGCGGCAGCGGCGCGAGTCTCGTGCGCCCGGGCCGAGGGCGGAGGCGGGGCCACACCACGAAGCCCCGCCTCTCACGGCGGCGGTTTTTTTGGCGGCAGCGCGTTACCCCGCCCGCCAACCTCAAGCACCGCCTTCCCGCCCTTTCGGGTTTGAATTGCCCGCCCGCGGGGGGGGGGCTGTCAATGGGGGGAGGGGGCGCGGGGCGGGCACGTCTAACCCGAGGGGAGCGGGATAAACAGCCACCAACATGGCTCCTCCTGCCGCGGTCGCCGCTCCTCCAATATGGCCTCTGGCGCCCGCGGGCAGCCGAGACGCGCAGGGTTAGCCCGGGGCCACCTGACACCGTATCGAGTCCCCGCGCTGGGTGGCAAAGCCTGCTCCCGCCTAGCACCGATTCTCGCGCCCCAAAGGCTGGGGAAGCGGCGTCGGCAGCAGCGGTGGAGGCGGCAGTAGTGGCGGCCCAGCGCCTGGGGCCCTCGCGCCACGTACCTTTCTCTTGGGCATGATGGCGACGGTGGCGGGACTACGGGCTGGACGCGGGGATGCAGCAGCGCGTGGGCCTTGGTCGGTCCGGGGGTCGTCCTCGCCTCTTCACACTGCTAGGGCTCCGGGGGGTTTATAAAGTTTTTATAGCGCTGGGAGCCCCGGACCGGTTAGAACCGGATTTCACCTCCCGCCGCCGCTCATTGGCCCAGTTGGGGTCACGTGGGCGGGGTTTAAACTCACCTCCTCTGGAGGGAGTGAGGAGGGGGGTTTCGGGGGAGGGCGCGCGAGACGGCGGCGCGCCTAGGGGGTGGGGGCACAGTGGGGGAGGCGCGCTTCGAAGGCAATAAATGGAGGGGGGGCGGTGCGAGTTCTGGAGCTCCGGTTTTGGCTATCTCTAAGAGCCGGCTTTTGCAAACTAACAAGTTCCTTCCACCTTATGCAACCGAGCTAACCACTTCTCCAAGCCGTGCGACACTTAGACCCATCTCGGCCGCTTTCCTTCCTGTTCCCGCTGGGGGCCCCAGAAGAAGGGCTTGCGAGGCCTGGTCACACCGCCCTTCGCCGGAGGCGGGAGAAAGCGCGCGGCTTGGAGGTACAGGCTGCAGTTCTCAAGGCCAAAGCTTAAGTGGGAAAGAGCGGGGAAGCCAGCTTGGCGCAGCCGAACGTGCATCGTTCCAAGCTGCCACTCCGAGGAAGCTTTTCGTGCACCTCACCTGCAAGTCGGTGCACTCGAGGTGGTGTGGGAGTTGGTAGGGAGACTTTACACGCAGAGGTTACTTTCGGGTGCAGTGGGGCAGGTAGGAGCTGTCCTTTCAGCACCCGTTGCCCAGCAGCCTCCCCAAATATCGAAGCCCCCAGCCAAAGCCTCGGGTAGCTCCTGGAGCTTCCCGTAATCCCGGACCTCAGGACTCTGCCACTGGATGATGGAGATCGGCCGCCAAGGCCTACCAGCACTCCCCTCCCCCTACGTTCCACCCGCTTCAGAGACAGCAAGCTCAGCTGCCCCCACCCGATGCGGCCACCAAGCCTGGGCGCTGCAAACGCAGCTGGCGAAATCCCTTCCACACTGGCAGGCTGGCTTCCTTTCACTTGCGCGAGAAAGAGTGGAGGAAAGCGTCTGGGGATTAGGAAACAAGTAGTGGAACAGGTGTTGTAATGGAAAAGGGCTCTTCCATTGGCTCCCCTACCCCACACGCCCTCAAAGCTAGGGAGGGATCCTGGAGGTAGCTAGGCTCACCTGAGGGAAGGTAGACAATTGCAGCAACAACACAGGGTATTCTTCCATCTCACTGTTAGCAAACAAGTTTTGCATCTAAGAATTCTTAAGTTTCTATTTGACACCCAGGAGAACACAACACGATAAATATCCTCAAGTGGGGGCTTGGCTCACAGGTGGGAGGACATTTAAATAGGTTCCACCTAGTTTATTGAGGCAAGGTTTGAAGCTGGTCGGTACAAGTCATATTGGTAGAAAGCAACCACAATGAGTTCAAATCAACTATTTGCAGCTTCTGCTCCTGCACATCAGAGGCCCCTCAGCTTCTCCTTTCCACCTCTACAGTGCTCCTGGGGCAGCTCCTTCCTATCTCACCCTGGTATCTTTCCCAGAATACAGGACCTCAGGCCAAAGAGAGATACCAGCCCCATTAATCACTTCTGCATCCAAATCGTATTAGGGGAAACGCAGACTGTCATGCTCACAAGGCAGATTCCAGTTTGCTGCCTCTATCCCCTCACTCCCTTAATTGTAGGGCTCTGCATTATAGCCCCATAATTCATGCCTCCCTAATTAAGGCTGTCAACAGCCCTATTGTAAAGCTGGAAAATGTACAGCACCTGCTCTCTGGGAATCCTGTGCCAGGTGTGAGGGGGGGGTTGCCAAAGGGTGCATTGATCCACTTCTCAATCGAAGTGCCTGGCATTTAAACTTGATTCTCTTGTGCCAAATATCTAGGCACAGGAAGGTGGGGAGGATACTAGAGTATAGGAAAGTCAGGGGTTAAAAAGTATACCTTAGCACTGCTTTCAAGACTCCACCCCTCTCCTAGAGGGAGGTGCTGGGGAAACAGTTTGCAGAAAGTAAAATGGAAAGACTGAAGAGTAGCCATTGGTTGGTATAACTGGCTGGTGCCTGCTGCTCTGGGGCACCTGAAGCAGAGTTGCTCAGGCAGATAGCTCTTCAAAGGCACTAATCCTCTCAGCAGCTCTGCAGTGAGGCCTGGCAGAGAGAGGTAAGGGAAAGGACAGCCCTTGACTCAACATTCTTCTTCCTGCTGGGCAGCCATGGCCCTCACAAGCTGACACTCTGACATGCTGAGAATAAATAGTCTGTAAGGCCTACTTGGGGGGCCAGGCCAAAAAGCTGAGAGAAGCCTCAAAGACTGAGGAGGTGGGAGGCAGAGTCTGAGATGGTGAGGGCAGGAGAGTCAGTTGGGAAATGCTTCTTTCCGTGGTCTTGGTCCTGATGTGTTCCAGGGAAAGAGGCCTGTGCTGGACTAGATAAACCAGGGCCTATAAGCCCTTCTTTTACTCTGGAGCCATAAGGGGGCTGGTCTTACTGGGAAGTGGAGTCTGGCCCCATGCCCTGCAAGAGAAGGAAGAAAGCTTGTGTGGGCTGAGTCGACAATAGGTAATTGGATTGTAATCACCCGCCTGGCTTCTGCGCCAGTGGGGGCGCTGAGCCTTTCAGTGAGCAATCAGCACTGCCTGGTGGGAGGGGGTAGAGATTCAATAGCAAATCCCAGGTGGAGAGCCGAGGGGGAGGATCAGCAGATGGGCAAATTTTCTTTCCATCTTCCCCTCTCCTTCCTTGCCCAAATGACGCAGGCTGCCTATTAGCTATTTTACCAGCAGATCTGAGGTGGAGCCAAATCTTTTGTGAAAGTCGGATGGAAGGCTAAGATGGATGGGTAAAGAGTGAGGATTTGGGGGAGGCCTCTTCCCCACAATTGTGTGTTGAAGGTTGTGCTGGTAGGGGGGAAAGTGCATCTAGGAGCACTGGTAGAAGTGGCAAAGGTGGAAGGAGCAGGCAGCATTAGAGGTGGAGCTCCCTGCTCTCCAAACCTATTGGTGATGAGAGTTGTATTTAGTGTACCTGTAGGAGACTCACCCTCAACCCTCCCAAAGGGTCACTGTTCCAGGCAACACAAATGTATCTATTACCAGCATAAACTGGCCCCTGGGGCTTCCCGCCAAGCAAAGGGAACACAATTCATCATCAGGAGGGAGGTGCCCTTCAAGAAAAGAAAGGGGAGTGGAGCCTTAGAGGCAGAGGGCAGGGCAAAGTAGGAGGCCAGCCTCACTCAGGCTGATGCAGTGCCCAGATGTGCCAGCCTGTCTGCCCGCTTGAGTTCCAAGGCCTGCAGGAAGCTTTGGACTCGCTCTTCCCTTCTGGCTGAGAGTTTGTGCAAGCGTGTCCGTCGGAGCTGGGCGTCCCCACTGGCCTGGAGCCCCTCTTGCACCAGCTGCTCTGTCACTGCAGCCTGGTCCCTCTCCAGCTGCTGCCTCTTCCGTTCCTCTGCATACATGTCTCGGGCCTTCTGCTAAAGAAAAGTGGGAATTGAGGGAGATTACTTGGGGAGATCATTTTTTGGTGTGGGTGGAACTGCAATGGAGGTGGTAGGAAGCAGGGCACAGGGCAGGCCAAGTTAAGTGGAACAGTGGGGAATTTGTATCAGATTTCGAAAGGCTAGGCAGTAGGTGTGTGATGAGTGATGCCCGTGTTGTATAGCAGTGGAAGTTCTGGGTCCATCTTGGTTTGTTTTGGGTAGAAGCATCTGTAGTTCTTGAAATTCTCAAGTTTGCACTTAGAAGGGAACCAGCAAATATGAATCTGACTTCTGGTTCCCCCAATTAGATTTCTGGCTTTGGGTAAATCCTCTCCTAACCTCATTTCTTCATCTTTAAAGTGGGGGTTGTGCCTACCTTGAAGAGTGGTTTTAAGGATTAGTGATAATATATGCAAAACCCTCTCTAGCATATTAGCAGACTCCTAAACAGAAACAGCAATTTTACACGTTATCGTTGTCTATTTTCTGCTGTAAGAAAGGCTCTTTCTATTTCCCGCCTGGGGCATATCAGTGGTGTAATTTCCTTTGGTTTCCCAGGTCACCCTAAGGGTGCCATTCTCCCAACCCTTTAAGCCAGTGGTTCTCAACCTTCCTAATGCTGCGACCGTTTAATACAGTTCCTCATGTTGTGGTGACCCCCAACATAAAATTATTTTTGTTGCTACTTCATAACTGTAATTTTGCTACTGTAATGTCTTAGGTGACCTCTGTGAAAGGGTCATTCAGCCCCCAAAGGGGTCGCGACCCACAGGTTGAGAACCGCTGCTTTAAGATATTTTTCAGAATTGGGTTCCAGACTTGCCATACGCATGGGGACCAGCCTGACTATCCCAGCAAATGACCCTTCTGTTCAACACTCTTAAGCCACTTACTGCTTTCTGCCTAGTAGAATAGACATTAATGTCCATAGTCCACCCCCACTTTTTCTGTTAGAAGATAAGCCCTTGAAGGCTAAATTGAGCCCTCAGAGCTCCTAGAACTAGCTCTGACACTACATAGGTATCAGATAGCAGCACTTTTTTCTTTCTTTAAAAAAAATTTTTTTTCTTTATAGATTTGAGAAAGAGAGAAATGGAGAGGAGAGAGAGAGCCAGAAACAATGGTGACAGAGAAAATCGATTGGCTGCCTCTTGCATACCCCCCAATGGGGATTTGGCCCACAACATAGGCATGTGCCCTAACTGGGAATCAAACTGGCAACCTCTTGGTGCATGGGACATTGCTCAACCACTGAGCCACACTGGCTGGGCAGCAGCACTTCTTATACCCTGTGTGTATCTCCCGATAAATCAGAAACTCCTAAAGGGCAGAGACTGTGGCTTTTCCTCTGGCACGTGGGGTGCCCTGTACATGTGAAATACTCAATTGACTGACCATATAATCCCAAGAGGGCAGGGAGGATAATTGTAGGGAGGGGAAAATCCCTTTGGAGCAGAACTAAGACCCTGCTTCTCCTCACTGAAGTACTCTGCTCCCGTCACTTTAACTGGCCACAGAGCCTTTGCACCAGAGCTCCTCCTGCCAAATTCATTCTATGTGTTGGCTTTGCTTCCAACCTGGCATCCTATACCCTGATGACCCTTACCATATAATTCTACCTTTTATTACATTATTTGTGTACATGTTTCTGTCCTACTCAGCCTGTAAACACCTGAATTGCTCTTTATCCTTTTTTTAAAAAAATATATTTTTATTGATTTTTAGAGAGAGAGAGAAACATCAATGAGAGAGAACATTGACTGGCAGTCTCCTGCATGCCCCCTACACTGGGGATCAGGCCCATAACATGGGCATGTGCCCTGACCAAGAATCAAATCGGTGACCTCTTGGTGCATGGGTCGATGCTCAACCAGTGAGTCACACTGGCTGGGCTCTTGATCCTTTAAAGATACAGTCAAACCTTGGTTCTCCCATCTGAACAATTCAGTTCTTTACCAAGTTGTTCACAGAAAAAATGTCTCAATTGTCGACAAGTTGTTCACAGAAAAAATGTCTCAATTGTCGAATAAAATTGGTTCTTGACCTGACAACCCTTTCATGCTGACACCTGTATGATCAGTCATGTACCTCTCAGGGGACAAACAAAGAAGAGAATGTGTGAGTATGAGTCAGTTTACCACTAAATATCATGTTATTAACATCTCAGGAAATTGTGCTGTGAATATTTTCATGTTCTTTTGCTTTTGTTGCTGCTTATTATGATTAAATATGCACAGTAAGACACCATGGGTCCTAAGAAGTTTAGTGATAGCACCAATGTGAAAAGGAAAGCAGTGAGAACAATGATAAAGAGCTTAAAAAAGAATGGCAGCCCAGCCAGTGTGGCTCAGTGGATTGAGCATCATCCCACAGACTGAGAGGTCCCGGTTCAATTCCTGGTCAGGGCATATTCCCAGGTTGCAGGCTCGATCCCCAGTGGCAGGAGCATGTAGAAGGCAGCCAATCAATGTGTGTCTCTCATATTGAGGTTTCTATCTCTCTCTCCCTTCCTCTCTCACTAAAAAAATCAATAAAAATATATTTAAAAAAAAAAGAATTGCAAAATATGATAGAGGTATTCATGTGTCTAATCTGGCTACTGAGCATAGCATGGTGAAATGGATGATTAGCACAATATTAAAACATTAAGAGGCAATCAAGAGTCCTGATGTTGCTTGGCTGGTGTGGCTCAGTGGTTGAGCATCGACTCATGCCCCAAAAGGTTGCCAGTTCGATTCCCTTTCAGGGCACATGCCCAGGCTGTGGGCCAGATCCCCAGTGGAGGGCATGCAGGAGGCGGCCAATCAATGTTCTCTCTCATTGATGTTTCTATCTCTCCCTCCCTCTCCCTCCCTCTCTTTCTCTAAAATTAATACAGAAAAAAAATTTTTTTAATTAAAAAAAAAGAGTGCTGATGTTGCTCAAGAAACCATGATTACAGGCAACTGAGAAAAGTTAAAACAGGGAATCAACCCTGGCCAGTTTTGCTCAGCAGTTAGAGCATCGGCCCGCGAACCAGAGTCCCAGGTTCAGCTCCCACTAAGGGCATGTACCTGGGTTGCAGTTTGTCCCCAGCCCTGGTGGGGTCATGTGAGTGGCAACCACTCAATGTGTCTCTCTCACATCAATGTTTCTCTCTCTCTCTCTCCATTCTTCTCTCCCTCCCGCTCTATCTAAAGATAAATGCGAAAATGTCCTTGGGTGAGGGTTAAAAAAAACCAAAAAACAATAACAAAAACAAAAAACAGGAAATCGTTTGGGGTCTGGAATGGATTCATTCAATTTACATTATTTCTAATGTAAAAAAATAATTCGTTTTTCGAAGAAACTGCTTCTCAAATAGCCTTCCGGAACAAATTAAGTTCAAGAACTGGGGTTCCACTGTATCTGCCATGTGCATAAGCACTTGACCCTTACAACAGAGCTGAAGGTACTTTCCTTTAAAAAAAACATTTTAAAAAAATTTTATCCTCATCCTAGGACATGTTTGCATTTATCCTCAAATAGAGTGGGAGAGAGGGAGGAAGAGAGAGAGAGAAACATCAATGTGAGAGAGACACATCGACTGGCTGCCACCCACATGACCCCAACTAGGGCCAGGGACAAACTGCAACTGAGGTACATGCCCTAGTGGGAACTGAACCCGGGTCTCTCTGGTCCGTGAGCTGACGCTCTAACCGCTGAGCCAAACTGGCCAGGGCAGGAAGGTACTTTCTTTTGGAGACAGTTATTTGCTAAGGCCTCTCAGCAATAAAGGTTTATTGCATAAATGAATATTCTGGAATAGTCCCCCTCTAGGCATTCAAGGGTACTCTTATGCTATGATACTGAACACATACATGGAGCTATGAGGACTAAAACAGGCTTGGTCAGGAGAAATCCTGGGTCCTATGTACAGGACTTTACTAGGGAATATGGAGATGCTCAAGATACAGTCTAAGCAATCTATGTGCTCACAGGCTAGGACACAGATCTCTACACAAAATCCCATAACATAAGGTATAATGTGGTAAGGGTCATTAGGCAGGCAAGAGAAAAGGCCATGTAGCCCAGAGGAGAGAAAAATTATGGTTATGAAGGTCAGGAGCAGTAAAACCTCATGGACAGGCAATATTTGAGCAGGGCTTTAACCAATGAGGAGGAATTGGATAAAGGTGGGGTGTATAGGGGGGTAATATCAGGTAGTGGGAATAACGAGCAAAGACATATGAAACTGAAGAGCTTGATCAGGCCAGAGTGAGCCCTTCTGGAGCAATGGGATTCCAGAAGTTTTGAGAGTCCAAGGACTCTGATCTCTCAAAGCCTAATTCTTTTTTATTTTTATAAATATGTTTTTATTGATTTTTTTAGAGAGAGAGGAGGAGAGAGATAGAAACATCGATCGGCTGCCTCCTGTATGCCCCTTACTGGGGACTGAGCCCATACCCCAGGCATGTGCCCCAACTGGGAATCAAACCAGGACCTCTCAGTCCATGGGACAATGCTCAATCCACTAAACCATGCTGGCTGGGCTAAAAAAAAAAAATTAGGTGCCTGGCCGGTGTGGCTCAGTGGACTGAGCATCGTCCCATGGACTGAGAAGTTCCGGTTCGATGCCAGGTGGGGGCACATGCCTTGGTTGTGGGCTCAATCCCCAATAAGGGGTGTGCAGGAGGCAGCCGATCGATGTTTCCCTCTCACATCATGTTTCTATCTTTCTCTCTCTCTAAACAATCAATAAAATACCCATTAAACCAAAAATATATATACACATTTATAAGAGTTTATCTGAGCCAAATGCTTAGTCTAAACCTAATTCTTAATCTGCAAAATGGGGATGACAGTGTCCACCTCACTGGGTGGTTTGAGGAAAATGAGATAATATATGTCCAACCTGGTGCCTGTCTATTAATGGTTAGCTATTCTATGAGCACCGCTTGTGGCTACGGCTAAATAGGCTATGTTCTGGCAAGACAGAAAGGATGGGGCCACCCAGCCACAGAGGGAGGAAATATGGTGCTGGTTAAAGTCGCTCTGTGAAGCTTGGGTTTCTTCTAAATAGCAGCCCTAGTCTGAGTGACAAAGAGGCTTTAGCCAAGGCAAAGCCTGGCCCCTATTTTCCAAGAATTGGTGAAATCATTGTTAGGGTGACGGAGTTAGGGGGAGATCCTAAAGGCCATCTGCTCCAGCCTCCACACTTTGGACAAGGTCACTAGAGGCTGAGGCAGGAGACAGGAAGGAACTTGGTTTAGGTCACACGGTGGGTTAAAGTTTCCTTGGTGTCTCCACAAAGGTGGCTTCTTGAGAGGGTTAAATAAAAAAAACTTACATGCCCTGGCCAGTTTGGCTCAGCGGTTAGAGCGTCGGCCTGCGGTCCAGAGAGACCTGGGTTCAGTTCCTGCTAAGGGCACGTACCTTGATTGCAGTTTGTCCCCGGCCCTGGTTGGGTGGTACATGCGGGAGGCAGCCACTCAATGTGTCCCTTTCATGTCGATGTTTCTCTCCCTCTCTCCCCCTCCCACTCTATCTGAACGAAAAATGTCCTCAGGTGAGGATAAAATAAATAAATAAATAAATAAACTTACATGAAAACACCCAAGTACTTTAGTAGACCCTCAATATGTTAGCTGCCACCACCACACACACCACCATTATTATTATGAGTCCTAATCAGATGCACGTGACTCTGCCTCCTAATGAAACCTGTGTCAAGATCTGGTGATCAAAGCTAATACCTTGAGGGAATAATGGCTAATCTCTCTGAGAAGCCTTTCCTGGGTTTCCATAGTAGAGATTAAAGACTTGAAACCTGAATCCCAATTCTGTCTCTTATTGGTTGTGTCCTTAATAAAATAATTTTGATTTGTTCATTTGCTCAAGTGACGCTAACAATACCTACCTCATTGGGTTCTTGGGAGCATTAAATGCGATAGTGCATATAAAATATTCACAGTGCCTGACATATAGTAAATACACAGTAAGTGATAGCTACTATCATCATTATTAACATTCTTATTAGCAAGTGTCTAGTATATATATAGTAGGTGGTCAATCAATGCTCACTTTTCTTCCATCCCTTCCAGTCAGGCCAGCCCTGAAGCATGCTATGATTCATCTAGAACCATATCTGATGCATGTTATGGTTCATTTGGAACTAACCTGAAGCATGGTCTGGTTCATCTGGAACTGCAGGATGGCTTCACAGAGGTTCCAAAACATATATTCTGGCCACAGAACAGGCTGGAACACGATGCAGGAGTGGGAGGTCTGGGAAAAGGGGAACAGGAAAAAAATTCAGTTTAGTAACATGTTGCTGGACACATCCCTAGGCAGAGTTCCAAAGAAGGAGGCTAAGCAGGATCCAGAACCCCAGAAATGAGATTGCTTAGGCATCCTGAGCTGTAGCTGCTGCCACACATCCTGATTCACTCACTAATAGGGGGAGAGATCATCTGAGGCAGTTAGATCACCTGCCTGTAGCAAGGCAGAACTAAAACGAGACTAGACCAACATTTCCACTAGGATTTTTCTAGGAGCCAAATTTAGGACTAACAAATTTGGATTATGTTATTGGCTCTTGGCCCTTAGAGGTCATCTGGGAAACACACTGTCTGATCAAAGTCAGCAATGAACAAATGGTAGCTGCCACTGTTATTTTTAAGAAGCACAATGTAACACAGGGCATAAGAACATGGGCTCTTGAGCCAGATTGCCTGGCTTTGAATTCTGGCTCCCCCATTTATCATCTGTTTGACTTGAGGCAAGTTACTTTACCTCTCTGGGTCTTAGTTTCCTCAACTGTAAAATTGGGTAATCAAAATGCCTAGTTTTTAAAGTACTATGAAAATTAAACAAGTTAATTTACAAGTTAATTCACCCAGAACAGAGCTGGGTGAATTTTAATAATAATCACTGATGTGAGAATCCCTTTGGAATATTCTTGACAGCCTCTGCTGGATACCTTTAGGATATCCAGGAATTCAGTGCCTCAAGGGGGATTACTTTAGTTGTAGGATAGCTTGTGATGCTAAACCAATGTCACCTCCCCTGGAACTTCCACCATTGTCTCAGCTCTTTTCTCTGGAACAAGTTTGTTTCTTCTTCAAAGTGACATTCTTTCAAATATTTGAAGGCTAGATTAGAAGTGCCTGTTATCTGTTGCCAAGGTTGTAATGACTTGTTCACTTCGTCTTTGCCAACAAACTATAAATTTTAAGACAGTGGGATTATTTATACCTTGGTCACTGTGGTATTCCCAACAAAGAGCAGGAACTCAGTATTTTTTTTCCAAGAGGAAAAACTGTCACCATGCTTCCCTTTTCCAGATCACTATCCTTCACTCATTCCTTGTTAAGACATGAGTTCCAGATTCCATGCCATCCAGGTTGGCCTCTTCTGGTATGTCCTCTAGTTTACCAAGTAGTCTCTTAAAACTCAGTGCCCAGAAATAAACTTTCCAGACATGATCTGACCAGCAGAGTAGGCCACAGAACCACAAGCGGAACACTGTACTTCAATCAATATAGCCAAAAACTGAAAGTATATTCAGTAGCTAAATCTTAGTTCACTTTTAAAAAATCTTCATTGTTGAAAGTATTAGATGTTCACCACTTACTCCCTCACTGACCCCCTCTTCCCCACTCCCACCCACCTCCTGCCTTCCCCACACTATTGTCTGTGCCCACTGATTATGCATATATGCATGTAAGTTCTTTGGTTTACTTCCCCTCTCACCCCCCACCTCCCTTCCCTCTGAGGTTTGTCAGTCTGTTCCCTACTTCCATGTCTCTGGATCTATTTTGATCAACTTTATTTTGTTCATTACATTCCATAAATAAGTGAGATCATGTGGTACTTCTCTTTCTCTGACTGGCTTATTTTGCTTAGCATAATACTCTCTAGGTCCCTCCATGTCATCTCAAAGGGTAAGAGATCTTTCTTTCTTTTTTTTTTTATCCTCACCAGAGGACATTTTTCCATTTTTTGTACAGATAGAGTGGGAGGGAGAGAGAGGAAGAGAGAGAGAGAGAGAAACATCGATGTGAAAGGGACACATCGAGTGGCTGCCACCCACACGACCAACCAGGGCCGGGGACAAACTGCAACCGAGGTACATGCCCTTAGCGAGAACCGAACCCGGGTCTCTCCGGACTGCAGGCCAACGCTCTAACCGCTGAGCCAAACTGGCCAGGGCGAGATCTTTCTTTCTTACAGCTGCATAGTGTTCCATCGTGTAAATGTACTATAGCTTTTTTATCCACTGATCTACTGATGGGCACTTAGGATGTTTCCAGATTGTAGCTATTGTAAATAGTACTGCTATAAACATAGGGATGCATATATATTTTCTGATTGGTGTTTCAGGCTTCTTAGGATACATTCTGAGAAGTGGGATCACTGGGTCAAATGGCAGTTCCATTTTTAATTTTTTGAGGTAACACCATATTGTTTTTCATAGTGGCTGCACCAGTCTGCATTCCCACCAGCAGTGTACTAGAGTCCCCTTTTCTCCATAGCCTCACCAGCACTTGTTTGATGACTGGTTGATGGCAGCCATTCTGGCAGGTGTAAGGTGATACCTCATAGATATATATATATATATTTTTTTTTTATCCTCACCCGAGGACATTTTCCCATTTTTTTGTTCAGGTAGAGTGGGAGGGAGAGGAACAGAGAGAGAGAGAGAAACATCGACGCGAAAGGAACACATCGAGTGGCACGACCGACCAGGGCTGGGGACAAACTGCAACCGAGGTACGCGCCCTTAGCGGGAACCGAACCAGGGTCTCTCAGGACCGCAGGTCGACGCTCTGACCGCTGAGCCAAACCGGCCAGGGCACCTCATAGATATTTTAATTTGCATCTCTGATGATTAATGATGTTGAGCATTTTTCATGTCTCTTGGCCATCTGTATGCCTGTTTGGAGAAGTGTCTATTTAAGTCCTCTGCCCATTTTTAAATTAGATTGTTTTCCTTTTGTTGAGCTGTATGAGCACTTTATATATTTTGGACATTAATCCACTGTTTGATGTATCATTGGCAAATATGTTCTCCCAAAGAGTAGGCTCCCTTTTCATTTTGATGCTGGTTTCTTTTGCTGTGCAGAAGCTTTTTAGTTTGATGTAGTCTCATTTATTAATTTTTTCCTGTTTCTTTTGCTCTAGGCAAAAGGCAATTCACTATACCAGTGAAAATTCTGCTATGTGTGATGTCTGAGAATTTTGCTGCCTACATTTTCTTCTAGGATTTTTATGGTTTCACGACTTACATTTAAGCCTTTTATCCACTTTTAGTTTATTCTTGTATATGGTGTAAGTTGGCAGACTAGTTTGATTTTTTTGCACATACCTGGTCTAATTTTCCCAACACCATTTATTGAAGAGACAGTCTTTTCCCTATTGTATGCTCTTGCCCCTTTGTCAAATATTAATTGTACATAATGCCTTGGGTCGATTTTTGGGTTCTCTGTTCTATTTCATTATCTATATGCCTGTTCTTATGCTAGTACCAGGCTGTTTTGATTATGATGGCTTTGTTGTATAACTTGATATCCAGTATTGTGATCCTTCCAACTTTGTTCTTCTTTTTCAAGAATGCTGTGGCTATTCGGGGTCCTTTTTGGTTCCACATAAACTTCTAGATATGTGAAATATGCCACTGGTACTTTAATAGGGATTGCATTGACTCCATAGATTGCTTTGGGTAGTATGGACATTTTAATGATGTTGGTTCTTCCAATGTATAAACATGGTATATGATTCTATTTTTTTATATCTTTCTCTGTTTCTTTTTTCAATGTCCTGTAATTTTCTGAGAACAGGTCTTTTACCTCCTTGGTTAAGTTTATTCCTAGGTATCTTAATTTTTTTGTTGCAATAATAAATGGGATTGTTTTTTTAGTTTCCCTTTCTGAGTGTCCATTATTGGTGTATAAGAATGCCATCGATTTCTGGATGTTAATTTTGTATCCTGCTATTTTGCCAAATTCATTTATTAAATCTAGTAGTTTTTGATGGAGTCTTTAGGGTTTTCTGTGTACAACATCATGTCATCTGTGAATAATGAGTTTCACTTCCTTCTTTCCAATTTGGATCCTTTTTATTTTTTTCTTCTTGTCTGAGCTGTGGCTAAGACTTCCAGTACTATGTTGAATAAGAATGGTGAAAGTGGACATCCCTGTTTTGTTCCTGTTCTTAAGGGAAATGCTTTTAGCTTTTGCCTACTGAGTATGATGTTGGCTGTAGGTTTTTCATATATGGCCTTTACTGTGTTGAGATATGATCCCTCTATTCCCACATTGCTGAGTGTTTTTATCAGAAATGGGTGCAGGATTTTGTCAAATGCTTTTTAAACATCTCCTGATATGATAATGATTTTTATCTTGCACTTCATGTGGTGTATCACATTTATTGACTTGCAAATACTGTACTAGTCTTGTATCCCTGAGGTAAATCCCATGTGGTCATGGTAAATAATTTTTTTAATATATTGCTGGATGCGATTTGTTAATATTTTGTTGAGGATTTGGAACATCTATGTTCATCAGGATATTGGCTTGTAATTTTTTTCTTTGTAGTGTCTTTATCTGGTTTTGGAATTAGGATTGTGCTGGTCTCATAAAAAGAGCTTGGAAGTCTTTCTTCCTCTTGAATTTTTTTGGAATAGTGTGAGGAGAATAGGTGTTAATTCTTCTTTGAATGTTCGGTAAAACTTCCCTGTGAGGCTGTCTGGACCCGGGTTTTTTTTTTTGCTGGGAGTTTATTTATTACTGCTTCAATTTCCCTAGTTGTTATTGATCTGTTCAGGTTTTCTGACTCTTCCCAGCTGAATTTCGGAAGACTTGTTGGTTCACTTTTAAGACTATGGTCCTGCCCTGGCCGGTTTGGCTCAGCGGTTAGAGCGCCCGCCTGCGGTCCGGAGAGACCCGGGTTCGGTTCCCGCTAAGGGCATGTACCTTGGTTGCAGTTTGTCCCCGGCCCTGGTTGGTCATGCGGGTGGCAGCCACTCGATGTGTCCCTTCACGTCAATGTTTCTCTCTCTCTCTCCCTTCCTCTCTCTCCCTCCCACTCTATCTGTACAAAAAATGGAAAAATATCCTCGGGTGAGGATAAAAAAAAAAAAAAAAAAAAAAAAAAAAAAAAAAAGACTATGGTCCATTAAAATTTCTAGAACTTTATCTTATGAATTGCTTCCAAGCTGAGTCTCTCCCTCCAAACTCTCCTTGAACAAAGACTTTCTCCCCTCTCATGTGTACCCAGGGGCAAGTTAACAGATGATAGAGAGTTTTAAGCAAAGACAAACTTATTTGACTCTGAGCTTTTGGGGGACTACCTATACTGGGGAAACTGAGCTGAGAGACAATGGCCCCTAAGAGTTTTTATTCAGTTTATATCCCTGTGGACTGTGCTTGCATAGATGCAGCCCTTTATTCTGAAGACAGACTAATAACTGCAAAGAAAGGTTCTAGCCCAGAGGAAGTAGGGTGCCTGGCAGGTAGATTATACTCAGGAACAAGTCAGAAGTCTAGTTCCTTGAACAAGGGCACAGGTGAAGTTTTCATTACAACTGGGATAGCCTTGACTTTTGTCCTCTAGGAACTTTAGAGAGCAAGAACCACATAAGTTCACATAGCCAGGAACAGATGAGAAAGGGATAGCAAATGTTAACCAGCACAGTCTAGAAACATTTCTCCAGATTTTAGGTCCCCTCCCCCACAAGGTTCTCTGGTGCCAACATGGCTGAGAGTGGGGATGAGCCCCTCTAATCCATTCTGTGGGTGCTGTAGCAGTTTTCAGTTAACACAAACACAATGGTGGTTAGAAACTACCTACCTGCCAGAGCAGGAAGTCGCTGAGCCTCACTTCCCCAGAAGTCCGTATCAAGATGTCAGGATTAGGAGAGTGGCAAGTATAGAGGCACTTATCAAGCAGAGACTCAGAGACATCACTAAAGTGAGTGGAGAAGAGACAAAGGTAAGCACACATCTCTTTTTGGATTATTCTCATGATGAACTTCCTTACATAAGGCTTCCCCGATTATACAATACCATCAAATATATTAGTCAATACTACCTAGTATATAGAAAGCCCCCAACAAATGCTTGATAAATTAATGATTTTAATTCTCACAACTACATAAAGTATTTCTCTCCTCATATTATAGATAAGAAAAATGAGGTTCAAAAAGACGATTAGTTTGCCCAAAGTCATTTAGCCACAGGCCTAAAACCAAATGCACCCACCAGAATGTTTCATTCACTTAAAACATTTTTTTTTTAATTTTTTCTTTATTGACTTTTTTTAGAGAGAGAGGAAGGGAGAGGGAGACAGAGATGGAGACATCGATAAGAGAACATCGACTGGCCACCTCCTGCATGCCCCCAACTGGAGATTTGGCCCACAACATGGACATGTGCCTTAACCAGGAATTGAACTGGTGACCTCTTGGTGCATGGACCGAAGCTCAACCACTGAGCCATACTGGGCTAAAACATCTTGTTTTTTAAAATGCATATACCTTATGACCCTGCAATTTGATTAAATACTATGCAACTGTTTTTAATACAGATAAATCTAAATGCATTGATTGGAAAGATGTCTAAGATCTAATATTAAATGAGAAAAGCAAGTTTCATAAAAAATAGTGTGGAAAATACAAACTCAGATATTTATGCATGTGAATGTATGTATATATAAGCAAAGAACAAAGTCTAGAAAGGCACACACCATACTATTAACAGTGATTACCTCTGGAAGGTTGGATAAGAAGTAAGGAAGGAAAGATGATCTCTCTATGTACCTTTGTTGTTCTCTGAATCTATTATAGAGAACACTCTTTAAAACCTTAAATTTAAGTCACATGATTTTGAAACATACAAAAAATCCACATTACTTAGGATTTGAAAAAACAACAAGGACTTCCGGTCAAGACGGCAGGTAGGTGAACGCGGTATCTTGTCCTCCCACAACCACATCAAAGTTACAACTAAACTACAGAACAACCATCATTCAAAACCGCCTGAAATCAAGCTGAATGGAAGTCCTACAACTACGGAATTAAAGCAGCAGCCACATCCAGACTGGTGGGGGGGGTCGCGGCGGCGCAATGGGCTGGTCCCACACCCACGTGTGGCGGATAAAAATCAGGAGGACACCTCGGCTGGGAAGGTCCTTCCTGAGGACTGAGGGGGTCCCCGTCCCACACCAGGTGCCCCGCTCAGGGTTCCAGTGCCAGGAAGAGAATCCCCATAACTTCTGGCCGGAAAAACCAGCGGGAACTGAGGCTCAGGGAAGCTGACACGGCTGGAGCCCCAGGCAGCTCCCTAAAGAGCCCGCGCACGGACTTATCAGACTCTCTCCTTCTAAGCTTGGAGGGGAGGCAGCTCGAAGGGCACCAGAGACATACGAGGAAGAACTGAGCTGTTTGGCACTGGAGAGAGGGCTGGAGAGGGGGCTTTCTCCGGGACAAACGTGCTGTAAGAGGCCTTTGTTCCTTTGGTGAGCCCTTCCCTGGGGCGGCAGACATACCTGGGACTCCAGCGTCCTGGCTCACACTGGTAGCCCCGCCCTGGTGACTCCCTGAGGCCCCACCCTGCCCCACCCAACTTTCAGGCCCACCCAAGCTGTTGCCACTTGCTTAACCATAGGATTGGCCTGTCTTGGATCCTGCTTCAGGTTTTTCCTAAATTCTTTCAAACGAGCAGCATCTGGTCTCAGCGAGCCCCATACCTCTCATTAAGTAATACACTGAAACAAATACAGGGAGGCAGCCAAAATGAGGAGACAAAGAAACAGGTCCCAAATGAAAGAACAGAACAAAACCCCAAGAAAAGAACTAAGCGAAATGGAGATAAGCAACCTAACAGATGCTGAGTTCAAAATACTGCTTATAAGGATGCTCAATGAACTTAGTGAGAACTTCAGTGAACTTAGGGAGGGCCTTAAGAGCATAAAAAAGGACCAGTTAGAAATCATGGATGCACAGTTAGAATTGAAGGAGGCATTAACTGAAATAAAGAATAATTTGCACAGCTTCAATAATAGAGTATGCAAACCATCAATTTGGAATATAAAGAAGCAAAAAATGCCCAATCAGAACAGCAAAAAGAAAAAAGAATCCAAAAAAATGAGGATAGTGTAAGGAGCCTCTGGGACAACTTCAAGCATGCCAACATTCGCATCTTGGGGGTGCCAGAAGGAGAAGAGCGAGAACAAGAAATCGAAAACCTGTTTGAAACAATAATGGCAGAAAACTTTCCTAATTTGGTGAAGGAAACAGACATACAAGTCCAGGAAGCACAGAGAGTCCCAAACAAGATGAACCCCAAGAGGCCCACACCAAGACACATCATCATCAAAATGCAAAAGGTTCAAGACAAAGAGAGAATCTTAAAAGCAGCAAGAGAAAAGCAGTTAGTTACCTACAAGGGAGTTCCCATTAGGCTCTCAGCTGATTTCTCAGAAGAAACTTTGCAGGCCAGAAGGGAGTGGCAAGAAATATTCAGACTGATGAAAAACAAGAACCTACAACCAAGATTACTTTATCCTGCAAAGCTGTCATTTAGAATTGATGGCCATATAAAAACTTTCCCAGACAAGAAAAAGTTAAAGGAGTTCATCACCACCAAACCGTTATTATATGAAATGATGAAGGGTCTTTTTGAAGAAAAAGATAAAATATATGAACAAACAAAATGGCAATGAATACATATCTATCAACAATGGAATCTACAAACAAAATGAACAGGTAGAACAGAAACATTCTCATAGATACAGAGAACATTTTGTTGGATGCCAGTTGGGAGGGGGGTGGGGGAATGGGTGAAAAAGGTGAAGAGATTAAGAAATTCATTGCTAGACTGACAAACCTCAAAGGGAAAGGGGTTGGGGGGGGAGGTTGGAAGAAATAAACCAAAGAACTTATATGCATAACCAATGGACACAGACAATAGTGTGGGGAAAGGCGGGAGGGGGGTGGGAGTGGGAAGGAGGGGGTCAATGGGGGAAAAATGTGGAACATCTGTAATACATTCTACATTCAACAATAAAGATTAAAAAAAAAAACAAGAACAAAACTAACCAGCAAAATTATCAGCCCTACATGTTTGATTAGAGCTACTTCCCCAGATAGACACTCAGAAGCAAGATAAAATGGAGAAGAACAGGCTGGCAGCATTTTTTTTTTTTTTTAATCCTCACCCGAGGATATTTTTCCATTTTTTGTACAGATAGATTGGGAGGGAGAGAGAGGAAGGGAAAGAGAGAGAGAAACATCGATGTGAAGGGACACATCGAGTGGCTGCCACCCGCACGACCAACCAGGCCCGGGGACAAACTGCAACCGAGGTACGTGCCCTTAGCGGGAACCGAACCCAGGTCTCTCCGGACCGCAGGCCGATGCTCTAACCGCTGAGCCAAACTGGCCAGGGCCAGGCTGGCAGCATTTATCTTAAGTAAAACTTTCCTGTTCCTGAAATGAGAATATTTGCAAGGTTGAAGTCTGTTGGTTCCAAGAACACTGTTTACCTTCCCCACCAAGTACCCAGAGGCAGAACTCTCCAAGTGTTTCATTTTAAATCTCCCAAGAATTGCATCCTGTGAAGGCAAAATTTGCATCTCCATAAGATAAAATTTCTTGGTGGAAACATTCTTTTGGGAATATAGTTAAAAAAGCAGAGATCTGGGCTGAGTGTTCAAAGCAAGATTCTATACTTACTAGCTGTGCACCTTTGGTTAAGTTACTCCATCTCTCAGTCATCTTTTTGCAAACCATAGAGGGAGCTTTATTTTCAGTACCATCACATGGGAAACAATATTCATCTATGACTGAACTGGAAGGACTTTCATATTTCCATGATAATCTGACAGTCCATCTTGGTAGCATATTCTTAATTCTCTAATTAAGAAATGTGAGACTGTACAATCAACATAATTTCTTAGCTCTCTTAACTTTGAAATGGGCACATTTATCCTATCTACTTATAGGTCATTATGAGAGTCAAATCAAATGAAATAACGTATTTTAGTAACCTTGGGAAGTATAAAGTGCTGTATAAATAAAGAAGAATAAACATTATTTCCAATCCCACCACTTTGCTATGTGATTTTGGTTCCCCACTTAACCCTTTTATATTTCAAATGTGCCAGGCAGTGAGCAGAATTCTTATTGAAATGATGGTAACTCTAATGGGGAGAAAGATAAAACTGACAAAATGAAAATAGAATATCTGTTTTGGCCAACAAAAATCCACCACCAAACGGCTTTAGCTGTCTATATAAACACTTTAAAAAATAATTTCTAGCCCGGCCAGTGTGGCTCAGTGGTTGAGAGTCGACCCATGTATCAAGAGGTTGGTTCGATTCCCTGTCAGGGTACATGCCCAGGTTGTGGGCTCAATCCCCAGTGGGGAGCATGCAGGAGTAGCTGATCCATGTTTTTTTCTCACGTCGATGTTTCTCTCTCTCTCTTTCCCTTCCTTTCTCTCTAAAATCAACAAACACACATTTTAAATCATCTTTAGGAAAAAGATGTTAAGCCTGGCCAGTGTGGCTCATTGGTTGAACATCAACCCATGCACCAAGAAGTCACCAGTTTGATTCCTGATCAGGGCACATGCCCAGGTTGTGGACCCAATCCCCAGTGGGAGGCATGTAGGAGGTGGCCAAATGATGTTCCTCTCATCGATGTTTTTATCTCTCTCCCTGTCCCTTCCACTCTCTCTAAAAATTAATAAAAGCAAAAAGTTTAATAAAACAAAGAAAAAATATTAAAATTGTAAAATTTATGTTATATATATCTTAACACAATTTTTTTTTAATCCTCACCTGAGGACATTTTTGCATTTATCTTCAGATAGAGCGGGAGGGAGATAGGGAGGAAGAGAGAGAAACATCAATGTGAGAGAGACACATCAAATGGTTGCCACCCACACGACCCTAAGCGGGGCT